CATTTCGGAGGAATATGGTAACTAACATTGTGTCACGAGAATTTTATATATAAGATATATATTTTTAAATCTAATTTATTTATTAGGTTTACCTATGCATATTTAGGGTGAGTTGCATCAACTAACTATAACTTTAACCAGCGACTTGACATCAGTTAAATCTACGGTTGCGCATAAATTTGCTGCGACATTTTAACAATCGTCAAATTGAGGACATATTTAACTGTAACTATAGCAACTCAATTTATAACCTAAAGTAATTTAAATATGTTTGTTTATTTAATTACCTTAAAATAATATTAATTTATGTGCCTCATTCACTCGTTACGTAAATGGCAGAGTCGAAATAAATAATGCAAATTCACGAGCCGACCGGACGAATGAACGAAAAATTAAAAAAAAAATACAATTTACAGCTTCTGCGTTTAATTCAGTTAAAAACAAGAAACGGGGGAGCGGAACGAAACTTTCTGAATAATTTAATGTAATCTTGGTTGCAGGAGTTATTCGTTGATTCGCCGTAATACTCAGATTAATTTTTTAGTCATGTTTGATGAATGATTTTCAAAACGACAAAGTGAAATTAATTGTTGTTCACATTTGTAAAGAATGCACAGATTATTTATGGTTTTAGACAAGTTGGAGTTTAAGACCTTGACCCATAACTTGAGGTAGTCTCGTAGACCGTGGCGAGGACGTGTACGATCGCGACAACTTCTGATGATAATAGTGGAAATGGATAAAAATGTAAATGGATCATTGTGGCCCAAACAAAAACATGAGACAGGAAATCTTTTTATTTTGGGTACAATTGAATGTACTTCACAAAATTCTATTTAAGAACATCTTAAGTACTTCTTAACAATTTAAGTATTTTCGGCGCGAACTGTTGTTGAACATAAAATTTAACAACGTAACGTTACTTCGAGTTACTTAAGTCGTTAACTGAATTGTTTGATGAGCAAGCTAAGTGGTACTTGCTAATTACGATTAAGCTATCAATTTTTATTAATTTAATTGCTTTAATTATTATCAAAATATATCTTTAGTGCATAAAACAAAAGTATGTTCTTTCTTCATTGCGAAATATTTTCAAATGTTTGTTTATCTTAATCTGTGATTTTACGCACCATCACGGAGAAATTCAACACGACTTAGAATCCTCCAAGAAGCGAGCTCACCATCCCCTTAAACGCCGGCAACGCATCTGCAGTTCCTTTGGTGTTGCGGATGTCCATCGGTATTATTAATCACCTCGGTAATCCCACCGTTCGTTTGACCCCTTCTCTTATAAAAATGCATGTAGTTATATGAACTCACAAGTGTGAACCACAGAAAAAACAAACAGTTTCCTAGCTGCAAACCGTCCATCTGGTTTTAAAACTTTCCAACGGAACTTTAATCTTGACTAACGTAATTGCTAAAGTTGGAATACAAAACCGTGTTCGCGGAATGCGCAATTTAGTGTCAGACATTTTGTAATTGATGTGAAGGTAGTGGTACTGTTGTTTTGTACTATTGTAGCTTTTGCTTTCAAGCATTGATGTATCGATTTAGTTAAAGACTCAATAACGACTATTGTTGTTCAAGTTAAATAACTTTCCATTTATTTTTGAATAAGTGTCTTAATACTTTATTGAATTATACCTAAATATTTCGCCAAATCTTACTTATCATACTATATTATAAATGCGAATGTTTAGATCGATGGATGTTTGTTTAAATCTAGAGAACGGCTGCATGGATCTAGTTGTAATTTGCAACACATAGGGTACTTTAAGTTTGTTTTTTAATTTCGCGTGGACGGAGTCGCGTTCGATTGCTAGTTATAGTATAAATACATCATGCCACTGGTAAAAACAGACTTTCCCCAGAGCCGCAACATGTGTATACGGCAACTTTCTGCGGTCTTCATGAAGTCATCAATCCATCGTGAAAGTTACCTAAGCTTCTAGTTCCCAACAGTGCTCTCTATTACAATGTTATCCTCCTTATATGATAAATAGTAAAGTCATATTGATACCGGAAAGTTTTATGATTGGTAATTATGTTATTAAAGGTAAGTAGGATTAAGATGTACAAACCACACTCTGGTGTTTAAATGTAGTAGATAACTATATTGAAATAGTTTGATAGATGTCAACAATCTAGCTTTCGGACAGTCTGTATACTAGTCAACAATATTTCAATCTGTTTCTAACATAAAATGTTATAGGTTACTATTGGAACATCTAGTTCCAGATTCTTTACTCTAGTTGCTCTTTTTCTTCAACATCTTTTGTATTTTTAATTTCATATTTTATGTCTATGTTTTTTTTTAAATAAATATTCACCAGTATATAAAGACCTTGAGTGACTTTATATTCCTGTAAATGTACATTTGTACCAAATGCGCTCCACTTTAACTGTCAAAAATGCATAATTTGCCCACTCGCGACTTGCAAATGCTTTATGCATAAAAATTCATGAAGCTTACAATGAAATGTAAATTCAAGATAATTTTTATTTTTCATTTCACAATTCTATATTGAAACACATTTTCTACAGAATTTTTTACTCTAGAAGATTTAAAATAACTGTTATAAATTGAAAAAGTTATAAAATACCTAAATTATACTACCCATTTGTTCGATTAATTTTATTACAAGATCGATACTCGATAGTTCACAATTATTCGTTGCGCGCGACGGTTCGACCCTTTTTTTTTTTTTTTCAGAGGGGAATGCTTTATGCATACTCCGCGCCCCGGGGGGGACGCGGTAGTTATGTGGGATTCTCTTCCGGATGGGAAGCATACCCACTAAACCCCTCTGTTCCTCCAACGCATCGGGACGGGACCACGGGCACGCTTTCGCTCTCGTCCGCGGCCCAACGACGGTTCGACCCTATGACAACTGTCCATTAAGTACAACATTAATCCTCATAAAACATTAATTCGATATTTTATAGGCGTCAGTTGTCAAACTAATGACTATGGCTTATGTGTCTTAAAAAGACACATAAGCCATAGTCATAAAATAAACATTATGTACAACAGTTATATGTAATACATAGCTATGTATTATACAAAAGAAATCGGTGTTCGTTCCTTAACCAAATTAAGGGCGCAATTTCATTAGTCGATAACTCAGTAATACAGAATGAAATTGATGTGTCGATGTTAAGCAAGCATTGTGCGAAGACTCAGTTCAGTTGAAAGGTAAGGACTATCCCTACGCATACGGGGCCAACCGACTAATGAACAACAGTTCTCGCATGCAGGCGTATGGCATGCGTGAACACAAAATCTGTCGTGTAGCAATCACGCGACTTGCTACTAAGATGTATTCACTGGCTCACCACTACATCCAGTCTCGAGCGCACGCACACGTCCAACCTTCACTGCGTATAACGCCGGAATGACAGATTGACGGCTGCCCTCTACTGGTGTTCATGACACAATATATTACCTACTCCTATGCTATAGATACAACCACATACAAACATATATATCTCATGTTACGAATACGGGTGCTAACGACAAATAAAACTGCTCCCTAAGTTCTAGTTGACTTACCGAATGACTCGAAACATGGTTTCAAATAATGTTTTTTCTAGCGTAGCATCTTGGCGCCACACTAACCATTCCGAATGGGATCAGTAACGTCTACAAATCGCTTCAATGGTGTGTTGCATTCAGAACTAGTCATTCGTATGCAAGTTACGTGAACAATGTACAAATGAAGATTGTAAATCTAAATATCTCTTGAACAATAGATATACTAATATATGGGTTGTCTTTTTGACGTCCATTGTTCTATGATTCTTTTGAAATGTTAAAGATTTCATACTTTTTATGAGGCTTTAACGACTAAATAGTCTATTATAATTTATTTACGTTCTTTATACGTTTTGCTATTCTGTGAAAATATTGAATTACTTAAAAAAACAAAATCAAATATTCAATAAAAGAGAAAACCTACACAAGGGAAAACTGTGCGCTCCTGTCCCTCTCATTCTCTTAGAGACTACAGAGATAACAATATGTGTGTTTGTTTCGGCAGTGGGAACGTTTCGAATGTTCCACTTAACATTTCCCGCAGCAGGTAAAGCCTATAATGAATACTGAGGACGTTCCCTCGGACGTTGACGAATCTCAACATTTATTTTGCTAAGCTGAATTACGTGTACGTACGCTTTCAACTTGTTAGATACAATAATTTATTACCTGTCTTGAGAGTTGTTAATTAACTGTACATCTAAGTATCCATTAAAAACGTTATTTAATTTTTACCTTACTAATATTGTAAATGCGAAATTTTGTTTGGATGGAATTTGACATAGATGTAGAAAATTGTCAGAAAAAACAGATAGGCCACTAATTTGGTCTAGATTTTTTTATGTCTCCGTGCTGACGGAGTCAAACTTTGTTAAGTTTTTAAATTTATATATCATAAGGTGGCAAACGAGCGAGCGGCCACCTGAAATCGCTGAAATAGCGAAGTGACCGTTGCCCATAGACATACGCAATTGCATATGCGTTGCCTACCTTTAATCGACGGAGGAGAGGATGCACAGAAAGAAAATATTTTCCCTTTCCATGCATCCTCTCATCTGGAAAGTCCACTTCCACTTCCCATCCTTTCCTTATAAGAAAAGGGTGGGAAGGGAAACAGGACTAAATTAGGCCTCCGGGACGCACACTCATCAGACGAAACGCGGAATTGCTTCCACTTCTCGCCTGTTTTCTGTGTGGTGGTGGTATTTCACCGGGCGAACCTGGCCAATTCGTGCGAAGATGTTAAAGCGGGTTCTACCACTCTTTGTAAAAATTGTTAAGTGATAAATACAATAAGTTAAAAGGAATGAAATAAAACACAATAGCAAGATTTATAATATTATTAGCTTCAAATCTTGAATTATTGTTGCAGGCCGTGTAGATATAAATAAATATTTTAAACTGTTTTAGAAAATGCAATCTGAAGTGTGCGCTACATTACTTGTGATTTAATTTCAATTGTTTATTTTTGTTTAGATGAATCTCCAATTTTACTGTTTATGGATGTCCAGGTGATTGTCGCATCTTGCCATCTGAAAATATTAAAAGTAATTTTAAAACAACAGTTATAAAATGACGACAACATACAAGAATCCTCATACTTCTATTAGATTTGTCGTACTACATTTTAATCATTTTTATATGAAATAAGAAGGCAAACGAGCACCGAGAGTACTGAGGTGTTGAATGACGCTTATGGACAACTGCAATATTGTTAATTATTTAAACAAATATTTAGGTTTGTCTTCTGTAAGTTGGAAAATTCTTCTGTTATTTTTTCTTTTTACAATGTTTTTTATTTACTTAAGGAATACTATGCTTACTTAGTGTGAATGAGTTTTTCAAGCGGTGTGGTGTGCAAGTCGTCTTTATATACGGATGCTTGGATCCCCACTCTGGTGTCAATATTCAGAGCCACGTAGCAACCGCCGCAAGTGTAGTAGTGTATATCGAACCTTAAACAAAGGCGAAACTTTAATTCCATAATTAATGTATGGTATACAATAGTCTAGAGTAATAAATAAGAAATCAGAGAGATATAAAATAGAACGGACTTCATTTTAAAATGTACTTTTTAAAAACATATTACACTACCTGTCGCCTACAACTAAATTAAACTTAATAAGTAGTCTATGTGTTCTTCCAATATTTTCTACATCTGTGCCAAATTTCATCAAGATCGGTTGAGCTATCCCGGAGACATCCTCTAATATCCAACAAACCATCTATCTATCTAAACTTTCGCATTTATGATATTATTATAGTAAAATGTTTATATTTTCCTTAAGTAAGTACCTTTTTTCCGCTTGGTAATTTTTCAATAGTTCTCTATTTGTGTTGAATAAAACACCGAAATGTCCTGACGAACATGTTATCTGAAATAAAATAAACATAATTATGCATCGAGTCTTAAACTTTTAATAAATAAACAAGAAACTAACCATTGCTTTCTAAGACAAAAATATCTATAAAAAACATATCATCATCCCTATCATTATCTTTGACATAACAGAGATAACAATATGTTTTAAATGGAAATTTTGGTCTCAGAAACCTCCATAACTTTATGATGTAACAAAACTCACCCATATGGGAAAAGCTGGAGTTTTAAGTCGTGAGCCGGGATGTTGTTTTGTCAGCGCGGACAAACGATTGTCTAATCCTTCGTGCCAAAGCAAAAAACCCACAGGACTTCGGGACAGAACACCGAATTGTGGCAATGCCTAAAAGTTTGTTTTTATATTCTTTTAATATATTATTAACCTTTGTGGGTGCTTCAGAAGACATCTGATGTAGTCATTTTTGACTAAAATGTTTGACGGAGATTTAAAAAAAAATTGTGGCCTTTTGGTGACTTGGCTAATACAATATGACTGATGTATTTCCTTTCCAAGTCTTTATTTGCACTTCTTAGGTTCGAAATAAGCTAAATGATTCGATTTTGATTGATATTTCTTATTAGCTGTAGCACTCTATTCCATCCACGCGGGATAAAATAAAACTTATTAATATCCTATGTATATTCCACTAGACATCTATGCCAAATTACATCAAAATCCGTTTATACGTTCTGCAGATATTTGATTAACATCCATCCATCCGAACACACAATTATATAAGTAAAAAGTAAGATGAAATGGCCAGAAAACTTAATTAAGTACGTCCAAAGGAAGAAAGTGGTCAAACAAATTAAGTTAACTATAGTATACTTACATAATTATCCTCATCTCCAACGTATACAACTCCATTATGTAAATAAGGCGTAGCTCGTCCTGTTATCACAAGCATGGTCAAGTTCAAAGAGCCCTCCGGCCGTGCTGATAATAAATAATTTAGTTTGCCATCCAAGTCTTTCTTGATACTAAAAATTTAAAAGCATTTTTATTTATTGATTTATATACAGGGTGTCCCAAAAGGTTACGTACATAGGAAGGGGGATGATAGGAGTGGTCACAAGGGTCACCAGAAAAATTAAATAAAAATTCCCCTCTGGGTATTAAAAAAAATAAATGGCATTTTTTAAAAACTTAAAAATTTTACACCTTCTGGGGCAATTTTGTAACCGATGACCTACAAATATAACTATATTTAAAAAAAGCTATTATGTTATCGTCAATAAGCCTTTATCAATTTGAAATAAAAAAAAACAATACAAGTAACAAAGATTTTTAATGAAAATTCAAATTGCCCAGAAGGTTTTAAGGGAATTTTTAATAATTATTTAATTTAATTTGAAGTTATAGTGGTTTTTAAATATGTGAAAATATGGGGGCGCTAAAAAAATATTTATTCTCAAAGTGCTGCCCATTTCACAAGACAAAATAAGTTAGGGAACCACTGTGTTACACTATGGAATTTTTGTAAGCCTTGCTATTGTGAAATTTTTATCTAAAATATACCTCGTGTCTGAATTTTATTAATCAAATTAACTTACTTCTGACATCCTCTAGTTAACACCATCGCGTATAACATCAAGAGCGCTCCAGAACCACCATCACCTTGAAACTATTTTTTTTTATTTTACATGAAATTTATACAACAACTAATATAATACATATTTATATAAGATATACTATTTACTTACTAAATAAAGGTAGCGTTTGAGAAATATCTGCAACTCCTCTAGACTTTTTAATTCAAATAATTGCAGCTGGAAAAACAAATTAAATTATTTTTTTTTTCAATTTTCTATTACAAACATTAGTAAAGATCTAAGTCATGTGCTGATTTACTAGTGCAACCACAGCAGAGCTTGCACGGATAATCGCTTAGTGGAAATACACACTAAATAATAATAATAAAGATTCTTTATTGCATATTAAAGGATTACAATATCAATATCGCCTCGACTCCCTGACTAGGTAAGCCTGTATTTAAGTAGCCAATGACTTCCCTTTCTAGTGAATCTTACAAAAGAATTAAAATTAAAATTTTAGAAATATTAATATGAATATATAACTATGTTGTCTTGATTACCTTTTCCGTCACACCGTCCTGATAGTATTTGAGGTTGTTATACACATACGTAGTTTCAGTAGGCAGAGCGACCACGGCCTTGCCGTCTGATCCGCTTTGTGCGCCGCACTGCCAGATGACGTCACTGCACACTCGCCACGAAACCTCCTCTTGAAGCGCCTCACTAACACGTAGTTGACTAGAAATTGTTTGTATTTGTTAATTTTAAAACTAACAAAGGTAAGGCCCTCTTACTTCATAAGGACAATCATTATAAGTATGCGAGTAGGAGAGACCGTTCAAATGACAAATCTGTTTAACCCCAAATTATTTAGCGAAATTTATAGTCTACAACTAAGTTAACAACATACAACTTGTTTATTACCTTTCGGGTGGTTCCGCAGACTTCTTGTCCATAGTAGGAGGACGGGAGTCGAACAAAATCCATTTTAGGATATAAGCTTGAAGACCAGTTAACAAAGCCCTCGTACTATTACGTTGTCCTATTAGACCGTAAGCAAACGCCTGGTCAGGAGGTCTCATTATTAATGGTGATCGGATCCATTCACCACGAGGCGGGCACGCCGCTGTACCAAATATGGTCACGCGTAGCTCCTTCAATAAACACGCCAGACATTAAGATTTATATGTTACTAGCAGACAATTCGATTATCCAATATTTATATTACCGTGACATTCAATTATAAAAAAGGCTTAATTTTCTTTCCCGATAGAGGGGTAGCCTACCCCTCTATAGGAAGGGAAGCATAGATATAACGGGAGAGGCAACGTATATTCTCTTTCTGTGCGGCGACTCCTCCGTCGAATTAAGGTAGGTAACGCATTTGCAATTGCGGAAGTGTATGAGCAGCGCTCGCTTCACTATTTTAGCAAATACAGGTATGTATGTACAGCGAAACCAATTTCTTCATAAATGAATAAAACCCCGTTCACACCAGACCAACTCGGTAGGTCAATCGCGCTCAAAATCGGTGACATACAACTGTCCTAATGTGGATCCACTGAAGCCAGTCTGACCGATAATTGTAATGGCGTGATACTTTTTAGGCCAGTTCCGTCATTCTGTCGCGACTGGCATAATGTAGACGGTCTTACAGTTAGGAATAAATATGTACTGACTCGTGAGTACTGCATACGTCTAAGTATAATTAAAATGTCTGTCTATAATTAAAATGATTAAATAACTTACAATCGCGAGTTCTTCAGTAATAATTCTGCCGCCTGCCACAATTGATTTATTAGCGTGTAATTTATTCCGTAAGTAAAGTGTTCGTTCTGAAACATAAAAAGCGATTTATTTGAGTTGAAAGACCTTTTCTGTATAATTTATGTTACTATCAATACTTGAATCTAAGTAATTTTATGTGGACTAGCTGTGGTCCGCGGTTCGATCCACGCGGATTTAAAAAAACCTAATAAGAAGGCTATTTCCTACATCTGTGCCAAATTTCATAAAGATCCGTTGAATAATTCCGGAGATACCTTTAATCAAACACCCATCCATCCATCCATCTAAACTGTCGCATAATAAGTATAATATTGATAAGAAATATGATTTGTACAAACTCAATAATTATAAAATTAAGGTTTATGAGTTCTGGAATATGTAGCATACTCTTACCTTCATAAGTTCTTCCCAAATCAGGTGACAAGAGAAGAAATTTCTTATCATTCTTGTCAATCGCTGATCGTTCACCTCGTTTCTGAGTAATCATAGTGGTCATTGTCTCGGTAGATCTGAAAACTTCTAGTAATTATTTATTTATTAAAAACTACTAACTACTTACTTAAAGTGATTTATAATTTAAATCGCTAGAATATATTTAATCAGGAAAGATAAGTAAGTCAATATTATTGTAACCTCATTCTCTTAACGTTTCGTAAATTAATATGTCATAAGAGTAATTTGTAACGCATAAATGACATTTTAATTTACGTTTAAACATGAGTAATTAATGCTTAAAATAACCATTAATTTATTTCATACGTACATAGAATCCCGGGAGATTGTAGTACCAATGGGAGCTTATATTTGAATATTTAATATTATTTTTAAATATTTTTAGAGTGTTAAAAGTGACTTCTTACTATCAAAGCCTGGCAAAGAATAAGACCAGGATTCCGAATATTATTTATACGTTAGTCTTCATAAGGGTGTTAACGGTTTTATATATTTCACATGAGTTTAAACAATCTTGATACTTTATGAAATTTCGAGTAAGATATAATTTGATTTTACTCGACGAATATTTATATAACAATTAGCTTTGTTAAGAAGCAGTATTCTTCTATTTAATTGTTTGGTTGCGATAAAAAAGCATCGTTTACTTTTCTTGTTTTGCCTTATATTTTAAGCGGATGATCTAACGATAAGTTCTAAACTATGTTGTTTATGGTATCAGGATTTTAAATTATTCTAAAAATATAGTTTGTATCATTCAAAAAATCGACCAGTTATCAAGATTTTAAAAATATTTTTATTTTCACAATCAATTGTTATTTTTTTTATTGATAAACAATAATCAAGACTTTTTATTTCTTCTATAAATCGATAAGAGTGTCGTGTAAGCGGTTAAGTCGTAAACTTCCACCTCGCGGCAATACACATTTTCTTCTTATTGAAAAGCTTTGCCCTAAAACCATTGGCAGACACGATTCTAGAACAACTAGTATAGCTGCAGTTCGTGTGAAATTTTCATATCGTTACCATATTTTCTATTATGACTTTGTGGTTTTGTTTTGTTTTGAAGAATAAATGCGGGAACAAGTCACTGAAAGATAAAGGGTTATGCCGCGTAAAGTATCCTTTATCTGTTCACTTTTTTTTTTAAAAATATGAAAAAGAATTTCTGACCAGCATTTCCAAACGCATAATTTTTCTTTTCAGTATTAGATCTTTTTTATATTACTATCATTGGTCAAATTTAAAAAAAAAAATATTTGAATAATATATCACAACTAGCAGACCCGACAGACGTTGTCCTGTCTACACGTCTTTAATTCGAATATTATTTAAAATTTGACACAACGATGGTAGCGCCGTCTGTCGGATCCAATGTAAAACATTCCAAAATCAACAACTATTAATAAATTAAAAATTAATTAAAAAAACATTGTCCAGCGGACAAAATTGTGAATCTAAACCATTCCCAGATCCCCTTGAACACACACAAAAAATTTCATCAAAATCGGTCCAGTCGTTTGAGAGAAGTTAAGTGACATACACACTCACAGAAGAATTGTATATATAAAGATATTGACGTCATCTAGCAAACAATAAAATATACTCAAAGAGAAATTTTTAATTTGATTTCGCCGAATGTACACTCGAGTAGAAAATCGCTTGAGACAACAATGCAAGCGCGGTAGAGAATTGTTATGAAATATACCATACAACCTTTGTTACAACAAACTCAGTTTGTTTTTAATTAAAATATATCACGCTATTCAATCAAGTATCTTACTTCCCGCAACAACTTGGCAAAGAATAAAAGCCATGGAATTAATTTTGCTTATTAACAATAAAAATAATTTTACTTACCAAATAAATTAAATAACATTTTTGATTTAATATAATGGCCCATATTCAATTACTAGCTTTAGCCCGCGAATCCGTCTTTGCGGGATTAAAAATAAACTTCCCAAGTTGCCCACGTATTCTTCCAGGCTATGTTCTACATCTATGCCAAATTTCAGCGAGATCCATACAGCCGTTCTGCAGATACTTTCAAAGACACATCTATCCATCTATCAATCCAAATTTCGCAGTTACAATGTTATTAAGATTAGACGATGATGACTTACTATCATATTATTAGTATGGTTATTATTACTAATTATAGTTCTAGGTAAAACAGAATCTTAAGATAATTTTTTTTAATTCCAAGCCTGCGGTAGATATATAAATTTAATGTCATACCAAGATACTTTATCAGGAATGTTTTAAATTCTAATAAAACGTAAGGAATCTTAATAAACTCAGTGATTAAATTAAGAGGGACGACAAAGTTTTACTTGTCTCATAAATGCCTTTGGCAAGAACAATTTTTACTTTAATAAAAGTTTACGACAGCTGTAACTTAATTTTCCCAGGCAATACGAATGGTCCAGTAAAATGAAATTTAATGTTTAGTTACAACTAATATTCACAGAGTGTTTACTTTTACGATACAGCCTGCGGGGAACATCGTAAAACTTATTTCCTCCTACTACGTAGTTATGTGTTAAATTAATATTGTATAGTAACTTTATATTATTTAAATGCATTTAACAAAGCATGGACTAGAGTTTTCTATTCGTAACACTGCTGTGTTACAAGTAATTTTATTGAAAAATTGCCACCTTTCTCCAAAAATATCTTAAGAATATAAGGCTGTCAATAGCAATTAATTTAAAATAATTAAAACAAAAAAAAAACGTTTTAATAACAAACTTTTATTATGCTCTTATTAATTGAAATAGATAAAAATTAAAAAATTGTCAAGATGATTGAAACGAGCCCAAACTCTATAAGGTGCTGTCATTTAAAGCCTTCCATCACCATCATCAGATCAGCACCATGTAATCATAATATTGCATTGTAACACGATTTACACATGTATTCAAAATTTCAGCTCATTCAGTAATCCGCTTAAATTTAATTTTTAAGATTTGATGACAAACATCGTAACAGGTGAAACTAAATTAAAGCTTATAAATAACATCCTAAAAGATGAAAGAAACCAACTATGTATAAATATTGTTTTAATTATGACATTTAAATTGGGATAATGTACATAATATTATTTATTACATTGAGCTTACAAATAGGTCGATTGCGCTCCCTTTCAATTTCGAGGACGCTTTAAAATTTACAACCCGTAAGCGGAATTGCTTATTTATTATTTACAATCCGTCGTTTTTACTTTATATGTATATATATTTTTAAGCTTCAAAAATACTCTCGTGTAAAGCTTCAACTTTAAATTGAAGAAGTAAATACTTTGTTTTTTAATTCTTTAAAACCAGCCAGTAATGAAATGTGTAAATTCATTTTTAACTTTATTAGTGACACCATCAAAGATTAATCATTGTTTTTAACAGTAAAAACCAAGCATTTGAGTCCTTGAACAGTTTTTTTTTTATAATTAGTTTATTTATTTACTCTGTGAGTTTATTTATTTCAGTCGATTACGTGATAGGAGAAAATCGAAATGATATATCACAATACAATCGAGTCGAATCGTATCTCAGGCGCGATGAAGCTGCCTCGTTAATAACGTAACTCTCTCGAATCCCGCGTGTCTATAAACTGAATCACGGCCACTACAATTGACCCTGAAGTCGAAATGATTTCGAAGTTATCACTCGAACTTTTAATTTCCATGTTCGAGTGGGCATCGAATATTCAAAACGATATAGAACATTTAATTTGTGTGTGTAGTTTTCTTCATAACCTTACTTATATTATAAATGCAAATGTTCGGACGATCTTGCTGAAATTTGGCTTAGATGTAGAACATATATGTCTCGACTGTATTATAATTTTATACAAAATAGAGAAGAGAGTTTTATATAAAAAGAGAAGAAGAAGAAGAGAAGTACACACTCACTATTTATTAACTAATATCGTATAAACGTGGTAGGGGTTATGTGAATCGATTCATTCAAATGGCTTCACTTAATACTTTATACAGTGTGTAGACGGGAAATTATGCGAGCGCCTTGAGGGTACTTCCCGAAGGTTCGACTATTTACAAGGGCCTATACATACATCGTTCATATTAAGTTAGTACTAAATTTATTTGCCGAGGACTGGTGTTGTAGATAAGCAAATATTTTAAGAGGATGTTCTTCAGTACTTACATATTTATTGTTGTTTGAATCCCTGTAATTTGATGTAAATTTTTAAATCACGTTATACTAAAATATTCAACCCACACTGGGCTAACATGGTTGACTATGGCCTAATCATCTCTAACTTAAGGTAGACTCCGAGCTCCCAATGGGGACGTGTAGTGAGCTGATGTTGATTATGACCTATTTAATAGCTTGAATGATTGTTCAATTTACACACAGAGACAAAATAGTGTACGAAAAACTGTCGTCATTAGACCGATCGATTTTCTTCGATTTAATTGCACTGTGAACGTCAAATAACATTTCACTGGATAGGATATAAACGTTCTCGACTACAGTACAGATTAAACAGGAATCGTATCACTGCGCACAAATTGAATATAAATCCTTGGGGCGTGCTTAACTGCGCTCCATCCTATAAAGTGACCACTAAAAACCTTGCGGTGTACTGCCTTGTATTGGATTTACATTAACAACCTCCCTGATTTATTGTATTAGGCTTTTCTAGACTTTTTGATCATATTATAAATAAATTAAAACATGTTATTGTTATTCCTGAAAACTAGACTACTTATAAAACTTTACTGAATTGTTAAAATAAGGATTTTTAATGAGGTACATTAAAATAATGACGCGCTTTGCCCAGAGGGGTAGGCTGTGACCACGGAGCTCCATTTGGCGAGGACTAGACACACCGCTCTCGCTGCTTCTACATTCATACATCTACGCATACATCTAATTTGGTTTTGGGTGATCTTAATACTGCCCTTCTTGAGTATTTTATCGATATGAACGATAAAATTCCGTCTAGGACAGCTCCGATTAACATTGTCACGCATTTTCGCGCCATAAAAGATTTTAAGTAAGTATTTTTAGACATTATTAATTAGAATCCTTTGGCGCGAATGGAGCGCTTTCTTTAAAAAAGTCAAATGTCAGAATTAATAGTGAGGTGACATAAACGTCGACATCTTAGTAAGGCTGCGGCACACCGGCATAGTGCCGGATTTTCTTCCTAACAGTATAAAGGTTAAAATAGCTTTTTTATCAGTAGCTTAAGAATTATGTTAATGTAATTCTTTGTACTTTTATCCAAAATCAATATTATATCGATCAATAGTAACAATTTCAGTGTTAAGTTTGTATAGAGTATAGACAATATTAAGTAAACAGATTATA